AGCTGCATCTGCATGGAGGTAAGGGGCGGGGCAGGTGGCTCTTCGTCCTCCAGCAGCACCTGGGGGGGTTGAGCCATGGGGGGTTGTGGGAGCAGAGGTGGCTGGGCCAGGGCCGGGGATACAGTGGGGGGCCGGGTAGGTTTAGGGGGCAGGGCAGCAGCTCGGTTGCTGGGCCGAGATGGCTGCTGGGGCAGCGCATTGTGCAAAGCTGAAAGGACACATCAGGGCGGCAGTGAGGGCTGAGGGCCCCGTGACCCTGGTCTGGCCTCTCTGTTCCATCCTAACTTCACCTGGACTCTGGGGACTAACTCCTACCCTCCCTCCCTCCCAGCTAGCAACCTCTTCCCACACTCCACGACTTCCTACAAACCCCACAATAAAGACAGCTTCCAGTGAGATCTGCAGGAATAAGCTCTTCACCTGTCCCTGTGCTCTGTGCCTTCAACTCTTCCTCTTGTTCCCTGTTCTCAATGCAGTCCTCAGTGACTCATCTCCAGACTTGACCAGCCCACCAGAAGGGTGGTAGGCCTGGCCCTGTAATCACCCAGTACGTACTGTCCTGGACCCAAAGGACTAACTTTGTCAGGATGAGAGTGACTCCCAATCCCTGCTGGGAGCTGCCAAGAGGGGGTTCCAACTTTTCCATCTAACACAACACCTGGCCCTACAGAACTAAACCAGCATCTTCTAAATCAGAGTACTAGCTAACTCCATGCCAGGCACATCCCAGAGTATCTCCTTAAATTTCTAAGATGGCCTTCAGAAGCTGCTGACCACAGCAACTGAGACTAAGTACTCAAACTATGCAGTCCCAGTATAGCAGATCCAAGGCACGGAAGGGGTTACAGCCATGCTCACCTGGAGGAGAGACCACGGTGTGCTGGTTGAGATGGGGCGGAGTGCTGTGCTCAGGCGGCTGGGGCAGGTGAGGGGGCAGCTCAGGCTGCTGCAGGTGCAGGATGGGCTGGGTGAAGTGGCCGATGGGGTCGAAGACACTGCCTGGGAGCTGAGGCTCCAGGACTGGCACCTGGGCAGTGATGAAGGGCGGGGGCGAGGACTTCAGCGCTGGGGCTGCCTGTTGTGGCATAGAAGGGGGGGGCTGCGGGGGTGGGGGTTGCTGTTGCTGCTGCTGCTGCTGTTGTTGTGGGGGTGGCGGAGGCTGCTGGGGAGGCGGGGGTTGCTGTTGGGGCACAGGAGCTGGGGCTGGCTGCATCTGCTGATGGTGGTGGTGATGGTGCTGCAGGCAGACAGAAGACACAGACTGACATCAGGCAGGGAGAATAGGCCCAGGACAGAGCCAGGCTGTCCTTGGGGCTCACAGGGCTGAGAAGCTAGCTCTCATCTAAGAAGGGGACACTCTTCAGCCACATACCTTCTTCTGATCCCTCCCAGGATGCCCCTTCTTTTTTGACTTCGGAGCCATCTCTGCAGAGAAAAGAGAAGGTAGTGAGGCTCTGGGGGAGAACGTTGTAAGATGTCCTTGAATGCAAATGAAAAAAGGGAGGGCACGGGGTGGTCGGGATGGGAGCCAGTGACACTGAGCAAGTGTGTCTGGGTTGGGTCCGGGAAGCTGGACATCGGGGAAAGATTTGTCACCTACCATCTGCTAATTTTTCCTAGTTGGGGCCATGTGTGAAAAAAATCAAAGGCTCCCTTGCCAAGCTTCAGCCCATAGGCACCATAAAAGGCTGCCCCCTTGGCTCCACTGGACTGAGCTGTGGAGACCTTGCCCAATGCCTGTTTGTGGTCAGGCTTTGGGCAAATGAGGAGCAGCTGCATGCTCTGGACCCCACCCCACCTGCTGCTTGGAATAACCACCTGGGATGTCTGAAATGGTCCCATTCATTACACTTGAACAAAGGTGAGGTTCTGAGAAGCAAGGGGACTTGTTCAGGATTGCATAGCTACAGCTCAGCAATGTGGGGGACCCCAAGATCACAAGGCCCTCTGAGGATCACAGCTTTCCATTTTCCCAGAGGGAAGGAGAGCAGCTCAGGCTGGGGTTCAAAGTGCAATGGTGTGGTCATGGGAGGTCAGCTTGGCCCAGAGCCATGGGATGGGTGAAGAAAGTGCTGGCAAGTGGGAAAGCAGAGGACCCTTGAGGACCTTGAGGGAGGGAAGGAAGCATCATGGCCTCACCAGAATGACCGTAGGCAGGTGCTCACTGCCATGGCTATCAAAGGACAGCAACCTGTTTCCCCTTCCTCAGGAGAGACAGACATCAGAGAGGCCTTGTTCTGGGACACAGTAAATGTACTCCAGAGAAGGCAGCATGTGCGCTGGCTCCTCAGGGACTGATGGCTGGCACCGCAGCTGTGCAGCTGTGTGTGGGCCTGACTCGAGGTGCACTCAAGAGCCTATACACCCCACTTCTGGCTGCACCCAGAGGGTCACTCTTAAGAACTCTGGCAGCTGGATGCCCCCCTCAACACAGACATTGTGTAAGCCCCAGAGAAAGAGCACCCCTGCTGGTGTCCCTGGGCTGCCATGTCATAGTTGCCAGCCACCAGGTAGAAAGTCACAACCACCAGGGTGGAGGTTAGAACCATGGAATTAGACCTTTTGGATTTGTCACTGTGGGGCACCTTCTGGCTTTGTTTTCCCCTGAACTCCCTTCTCAAGACACCAACTCTTGCTGCTGGTGTCTAAGAATGTCTTGCCCAAATCAAGGATACAGCTCTGCTCAGAGCTGCTTTGAGGGTCACACTAAGCCTCTGTGAGATGCATGGCCCCTGAGGTGCAGTGTGCCACTAAAAGGGATGAGGAGGGACCTTGTGCCAGGCAAAAGCTTACCACTTCATGCAAGAGACAAGACACACACCTCAGCAGCTAGACACAGTCTCATACAAATGGCCAAGGGTAGTAAGCGAGGACAACTAGGGTACGGGAAACAAAGACCAGGTCCCAAACCTGAATACCAGAACAAAGGGCTCAGGAATCTTCTGGTCAGTGAAAACCTGAACACAGGTATATGCTCTTGTGGGTGAGACACATAAAAAGGGAGTCTGGGCAGATCCATGGGATCAGAGCAAGAGGGCACCTGGTATTGCCATGGAATGGAGAACACTGGTTGGGAGAGGCTGGGAGTCCCAGTGCCTCAGCAGCACAGGCCCTGACCCAAGGGCAGGAGGAACAGGCCAGGGCTTCTCGAGGACGGGCTCCTCTCCCATACTGCCAAAGCAAGGAGGCTGCTCAAATGCTGGCTGCACTTCTGAGGGAAGTCAGGCACGGAGAAGTGAAGTTAGGCAAAGAGGTCAGGCCACCACGTGAATCTGACCTGGAGAAGCCTCAGGGACGAGCCCAGACATGGAGTGGTGGTGGGAAGGGGCCAGAGTGCCTTGCAGTCCGGTAACCTTGAACAAAGCATTGTTTTCCCATTTAGAATTCTAAGCCAGACCCCTGTTCTTTGCTCACAGGCTATGAACAGAGACCCACATGGGCAGGCTGGAGACCAAGCACAGTGGGCCTGTAGGCTTTCCAGAGAGCACATCACAGGAGTGTCCCAAGGCTCTTCTCCAGAGCACAGGAGAAGTAGGAGGCACAAGGCAGATACCCAGGCCCAGGCGAGACTAAAGATGGTGGTGGGAGCCGATGAGAGATGGGACCCCTCTGACTCCTGTGGTTTGAGCCTTGTGTTGGAATTACCAGTAAGAAGACAAGAACAGGAAGTGCACAGGTTCACGACACACCAGCCCCAGACCACCCCCCAACCACAAAACTCTCTAGAGAGGGTTACATGGAAATGGCCTCAAGTACTGTGTGATCTTTATTCCATGACAATCTTCAACTCAACACAGGTTTCATCTTTACATAGGATGGTATTTGTACAAAGAAATAAAATGTTGCGGTAAAAATCTGATTAAAACACTGATTTTTCCCACTCCCACCCTGCCCCACTCAAGCCAAGGAGACAGAAAGGAGGGTCAGGGCAGGGGAGAGGAGAGAGAAAGGCAGAAGAGAACAGTCCTCCATTGCCCCTGTCTGGCTCCTCTACCCCTCTTACACAGTTCCTCCATGGGACCCACAGCCAGCTGGTGCACTGAGCACTCAGCTGGTATCTCATTTGTTGCCCAGGAACAGGAAGCTGCCAACAAGGAAGACTGGGTGGGCACTGTCCTTTCTGACTGTGTTCCTGGGCACTAAGCACCCTAAGTTGAAAGAGCTTTTAAGTTCAAAGGGGCCCAAGTGTCCTAGCCAGATGGAAACCCCAAGGGCAAGAAGGACGGGATGCCTGGTGAGAGGATCCTGCAGAAGGGCTGGCCTGTATGCACACGTGTAGGGAGGAGTGGGGCAGCATGTGGCTGAGACTGAGACACCATGGGAATTCAGGCTGCCGTTTGGTCCAAGACAGCAGGAATCTTCCCAGAAAGATAATGCCAGCAGCTTCCCAACTGTCCTGTGGAATCTCTGGGTATGAAGCACCCCCATCCCATCCCAGCCAAGTTCACTGGGAACACATCAGGCACAGGTGAAAGGGCAGCTCAAAATAGTATGTTTGGCAAATGGAGCTGACTGGAAGCCTGATGCCCAGAGGACTGGGAGCAGCCTAGGAACTCACAAATATCAGTACAGGGCCCAGAGAAGGCTGGAGCTACACTCTGTGGCCACAGACACTCTGGGGCAGCAAGCAATCCAAAGACCCAAGGAGCTTGGGAGGGCTGTTGGTAGGGGTCAGCACCCATGGTCTGCCCATGAGTGGCACCTCCCTAACCTACCAGCTCCAGAAGGTGGGCTCTCAGGTGCTGGATGGCTGCACAAACTACCCTTTTAAAAAGAAGGGGGGAAAAATAGGGGTGGGGGGTGTCCATAAAATGCAGATGCAGTTCCTTAGGCAAAATCAGGCAATTTTTAAAAGGGTTGATATTTATTTTTAGAGCAAAAAAAGTCTATCTGGTACCTCCGGAAGGGCTTGGATGATGTGCCTGCCCGCCTCCCCAGCAGCTGTCGTCATCCTAGGGGCCTGAAGACCAGGAGGATGCTCATGCTGGAAACACCCCTCAGAGATGCACAACAGGCAGCCCACAAGGGGCTGTGATACCCTCTCATTCACCACCCAGATCCTGGCCTCAGAGGTTGGGGCTGATGGCCTGAGTGCCCCACAACAGCAGCCCTGACGGTACTTTCCCTAAGTGACTTGAGCAGAAGAGGTCAGAGAAGTAGGAAAATGCCCACTAGAACCGAAGCTTCAGAAATGCACAGCAACAATGGGGATGGAAGGAGGACTTCAGGAGGCTGTGGGTCAGTGGTGGCTGGTGATAGCCTCCAGCTGACCAACCCAGCCAGGAAGGCCCAGTGGCCTCGTCTCCATAGCCCCCATTCCTCAGGTGAGAACATCTTCCTTAGGCTGAATGTGATCTTTCCTGGGCTAAAGTCACTGCAAGGTCTCAGGGGAACCAGGGTCTGGAGTCTCAGAAAGAGCCGGGGACGAAGAAAGAACACACACTTGTGATCAGGCTTCGCTTGGGGAGCAGCACCACATGTATGCATGTATGGGGGGATTGTCATACCCTCCAGGAGATGCCACCACCCAGAGGACCCAGATGACCAGAGAGGCTGGGTGGGACAGCCAGGCAGTCTTTGCACAAGGAGGCCTGGGCAGGCAGCCAGGCAGGCAGCCTTCCCGAAGGCGGGACTAGGCGTGTGCTGCTGGACATGACTAATCCACCCCGGGGACAGGCCCAGGGCTCTGAGGAATTCCATAACTTGATGGAGTCCTGTCCCTTTCACAGAAGAAAATGGATTTAAGCTATATAGCTTGCTGGGAAGGAATCTGGAACTGAAGACGTTTTATTAAGAGTCCGTGTCCAATGATTAGGCAGGACCTACATAGAGGGAGAGAGAAACCAGTGTGAGAGAAATGGTGTGCAATGTACCATTCAAGTCACAAGAACAGAAGAACTGCAGATTGAGCCAGGCTCCTGTGCCTCAAGGGCCGAAAGGGCAGGAGAGAATGGTGCTGGAGACCAGGAGTCCTGCCCCTGCCTGGCTTGCTTGCAATGGATGAAGACAGACCCACCTTCCCCTTAGTCAGGCCACTGATCCGGCATGTGCAGAGTCTCCAAAACCACTGGCGCCTGTTCATGCTTCTAGACAGAGCTACTTCCACTAATGAGTTCCATGTGTGCCCTGCATTGAGCGGACACTGGTGTTCACACCGCTTTTGAAGTCCCTCCTTCTCAGGGTGAGAGGCGTTTCTGTCTTGTCCCGGTGGCCAGTCTGTGTCGAGCCCAGCAAGCATCTGCTGACTCTAGTCTGAGAAGGGGATCCCAGCCCCTCCACATGGCATAGCTAGGGAAAAGCCTCCAAGAGATGAGATGCTGGAGTACAGGACCTCTAGCTGAGGGAAGGTAAAGAGCAAAGCCTTATCTCTCCATTGCTCTAGATCCCCAAAGCAAAGCAAAACCCACAAACTGTAAAGGAGGAAACCGTGACACATATATTGTTGAGGAAAGGAAAACAGGGCAGGAAACACACACACACACGCACACGCACAGGCACAGGCACACACACACACACACAAAATCCTCAGAGTAACAAATAAATGAAACACAAGCTGAAGTCTTGTCCTTCCCTTCCTTTTTCAGGGCACCCAACATGGCTTCTGGAGCAGGAAGGGGTGGGGCTCATTCCCACCCACAGCAGGCCTCTGCTCTACTCAGGGATGCAGACTCCTGGCCCCCACCACATGGCTGGGAAAAACCCGCCCACTAGTCTCTCACTGTGGGCCACATTCCACAAGCATGGCCTTGCTCTGTGAAGCCCTGAATCGCTCCAGCTGCAACTCCTGGGTGTATATGGGGAGGGGGTAACACCTTGATGTGAGGACCCACCCCTACTCCCTACAGGGAACTCACCTTTTTCCAGGGGCAAAGGCCACACTCATCTGAGAGAAGTGACTGGAAAGAGTCCCTTCAAAGACCCTAGGGGCCAGGAAGCTGAGGCTAGCTGTGTGATTAAGAGTGTCCCATGGCCTCTGTCTGCACTTCCCAGCTCAAATCTTTCCAAAACATCAAGCATTCCTTTTCCCCCTAGAGCTACTAAGAAACACCCACATGCTCCAATCCTGGGAAAAGGAACACAGGAGACTAAAATAGCTAGTTTGTACTCCTGCTGCAACTAGATCATCAGGCAGGCCAAAGTCAAATCTTCCTGAATCCCTGTCTTACCCCAGGAAGCTGAGGAGGAAGGGGTTCTCCTAGAAGAAGCATGAGCAGTGTAGCCAGGCCTCCCCACAAAGATCTGCAGGTGGCATTTGGAAGAGTCAGACGCCAGCAATGTAATGAGCACTGTAGAATAGAGTCCTACATACCCCTTCTCCACAATGGCATGCAGACTCAATCTGAGCAGGGCAACAGCCCACTTGGACAGCAGTGGTAGGGGAGAATCAGGACCCTTTTCCGGTCTACCCAGCTCAGATTTGCAGATGCCCCATAGTCCTGCCTGTCCCGCCACTGATACCCTTAAGCAGCTCTGGACTTCAGCTGGAACTGAGATTCAACAAAAGACCACACAGTCCAAGTAATAGCTGGGTTCAGAGGAAGTAGTGGGACTGGCCATCAGCACTGTGTGATGCTGTGTAGGGTGCAGGAATACATGGTGGCCGGAGCCTACCTGGGAAAGTGGCCCCATCCCTCATCCAGGCCCAGTCTGCCTAAATTGCAACCCGGTCCCTGAGGTCTGGCCCTGTGCCCTAATTGGCCTGTTGAATGCTTGCCATGGACAGCTGCCAGAAGAGGGCTCTGTGCACCACCTTACCAGCTCCAGTTTAGTGCCTCTCTTCAGTTTCTTTTGATGATTCATGTCCTGGGGCCATGTCAGCAGAACTGACCCCTAGTACAAGTGACAAAAATAGGCCCTTTCAGGAATTTCGGCTCCAATCCAAAAGGAAACATAAGAACAACAAGGGCAAAACTAGCCCCAAAAGACCAAAGGGAAATACTTTCAATATCTCCCTCTTCTTTTCTACCCCCTTCCCCAAACTGCCTACAACTGGCCACAGAGATCCGGGCTGTCTGGCTCTGTGGACTCAGGAGAGCCACTGCCAGGAGTTGCCCACCACGTGCCCACACTACAAGGGTGCAGTGCCACACGTGGTCCCCACTTGGGATCTGTTGCACAAACCACTTGCACTGGTCCTCTCCTGAGGCGTGCCCAGCCAGCTCATGACAGAGCTCATCAGCACACACAGAGGCAAAGGGAAAGCTTCCAATCCATCTGCAGCCCTCTGGCCTGCATGTCAAAGACAAAAGGCAAAACCCGAAGTGGGAGGAAGGGTGTCTGAGAAGAGCCACAGCCCAGCCCAGCCCAGCCCAGGCAGCTGAGCAAGTGGTCAGAGCAGGATTGCTGGAGCATGAGAGCCTGTGAGCAGGCAGCTCCAAGACTGTAAATCTCATTCTCCTTCCCACCAAGACAGCTGTTCCCAGGACTCTCAGATTACTTATTGCACAACCTTCCCACTTTCTTTAAAGGGAGAAGGACGGACACACACACACACACACACACACACACACACACACACACACAAATGGGGAGAAAAAAACCTTGAGAAGCTCCAGCAGAAGCGAACTGCGTCTGGAAATGCTGTCTTGGTAGCCCCAGCACTAGGAGGGGTACAGAGCCCTCACTTGGGAGCTCACAGGGTTTCTGCTGAAAGCATGTATGCTGCCCTAGAAGGCTGTGGAGACCAGGGACAAAGGCCAGTCATGGATTCATAGTCAGGACTTGGTCAAAACCGCCCACCCCCAAAGCCAAGTTGGTTCAACGATTAACCCTCCCAGTTTCAATCTTGGCCACTTAGGCAACAAATCCCTGGTAGAAGCAGTCTTCTAGAAAACACAGTGAAAATGAGCTGCCAGCAGGAATGCTAATGTGGCCCAAGAACATGACCATTCACACTGCTGCACAGACTCAGCTCAAAGTGGCCCAGAGCCAGCCCTTCCCACCAGGGTCCTTTAATGCAGTGCCCCCTCCTGGATGGGATAAAAAAGCGAGGGGAGAAAAAAATAGTAATTTTTTTAAAAGTGATTTTTAAAAAAGCAAGGCAGGGATGCTGGTTAGAAAGGAAAAGGGTAAAAAAAAAAATTAAAAAAAGAAAAAAGATTTCAGATGTATCCTAAACAGACGCAATAAAGATTTAATATATTAAAAAACCAAAAAAACCAAAAAAAAAACAAAAGAAAGGAAAAGGGTAAAGGATGGTGACAGTTTCCACAGTTAGTGCTGCAGAAATGTAGAACATATATGGCTTAAAGGATTTCATCTCCTTTGGGCCCATTAAAAAGGAGGTATTCAGGGCACTGAAGTCCCGGAGAAGCCTAAAGCCTACCTCAAGGACCATAAGTACTTTGTCTCCTCAATTCTTGTTTCTCTGATAAGAGTTAGGCTGAGTCCACCCCACATACCTCTACAACAAAGCTCTATAAGGTGCCCTTGACCATCACTGACTGGTATGACAAGGTCATTATTTGCATGCACTCATTATAGAATTGGCATTTTTCCCACTTAAAGAGTAAAATTCTAGAGGTGGGATAGCTCCATGGAAGAACATATCAAAACATCCTTTGCCCAAAATACTTCTCTTTGTGGCTCTCCATACCCCAGCCTACATGGCAGAGTGCACCAGAGACTCCAGGGCTGCTTCCTGGGTGGTCTGCAGCTCATCTGTTCAGTGGGAGGAGCCTGACTTGTCTAGTGGCAACCTCACTCCCGTAAGCTATGTGTCTGGCCTCCCAGGTACACTGGCTTATTCCCTATCCTCTCCTTTGGCCTGTCTGAGCACCTGCTCCCCTAACAAAACCATATCCCCTCCCAAACCAGCTCCAGAACTTGGACCTGCCCCCCCACCTGATTCTGAACCTGTTGTTCAGAAGGTGGGTTTTGGCAGCGCATCCATGCAGGTCCAGAGAACGATGAGAAGGGACTGTTAGAAGGGTGGGACACACATGTCCAGATGCATGCAGAGTTAGAGCAGAGACAGGAGCAGCCAACACAGCAGCAGGCACACTCTCAGGAGGGCAGGCATCATCCAGAGTCTGGGTGACAGCAGGACCATGGGCAGACTGATGTGTGGGCTGCCAGCATATGTGACTCCAGTCTCAAGAGTCTAGCCAAACAATTCTCCTGGAGCAAAAGGCTAGGTAGGGTCACACCAAGGTCAATGGTACTATGTGGGCCTCCCAACACCCAGTTTTCAAGGCCCAGCCCTCTCCCCTTCCCCAATACAGAGCTCTGAAGTGTGAATGCCCTTGAACACTCATCCTCTCCAGCCCAGGCCTCAGCAGTGACAATGTTAGGGCCACGTACTTGCTCCCAGGGAGAAAGCTGACATTCTGGATGGACAGACAAGAGCCCAGCAGGTTCTCATGACCAGTTTCTGGGTTCTTAAAAGCCTGGGCACAGGACTGAGCTAGTGCCCAAAAGGAGTTGGAAAAGATACTTAAACACAAGTCACCTAACCTGTTTCAGAGTCTTCACTGTCAGAGGAGCTGGACTCACTGGTGCTCTCTGACTCGGAGGATGAGAAACCTTTCATCTTGGAGGAGCCAGCAATCACATCGACTTTCTCAGCTGCAATCCAAGCAAGAGGAACTATGTCAGGCAGGACCCAGACCCAGGAAGCTGCTGTTGGCTACAGTGTAGCCAAACACCCCTAAGGAAGACCCAGTGGGAAACCTGTGACCCATAAGCCTAACACTAGCTCCTGTCAGCTGCCACTGTCCCAGGACCTGTGCCAGCCCCACAGTTCCTAATAGCAGCCTACTGCACATGGGCCAAAATATGGAATTTCAAGGCCCTGCCAGTCTCTCAGAACAAACATCCTTTGAAGGATTTCTCAAGGACTGAGGAGACCAAGCAGAGCAGTTAATTTCCAGTGGCATGAAGTACTGTTTGCTTTGGGCTTGTTGGCATCCTTCAGCTACCTTTCTGGCTAAAGGTGAAGGTGACCTGTAGGGGACATGGCGCATGGGCACAAACCCAGTACTCTCATGAGGGGACCAAGGACCCCAGCTTGGATTGGAAACAAAGGCTGTGTTAAAAAATATTCGGACACAGGCCCCCACTCCTGCATTCCTGAGAGGAAACCAGTATGCCATGGTAAGACAGCAGACTGTCACCAGAGAGGGCCACATCACTGCTGATGCAGGATGAGCTAGCTCATTCTGACGTAGTGCAAGTACACAGGCCCCTGGGACACCGCTGCACGTTTTTCCTCCTGCCCCCACCCCAGATACCCCCAAAGACAGTTGATTTTCAGAGACTGAATGGCAGGCAGGCAGGGATGGAAGCAGCTGCTGTTTAGGAGTAAGGCTCAAAACACAGAGTTTCAGGTGGGTCCTAACCAGCCACCAGCCTGTGGGTCTAGAAAGGCATGGACAGATAGTCCAGGATCATGTGTGCTATCTGGGTCTGCAGGGCTTTCTATATCAAGGACACGGACCTTGTAGTTGGAAAAAAAAAACTCGTGGAAGAGAGGGCTACATTAGAAAGGGAAAATTAAATGAGGGTGTCTATGGGAAGGAGCCCCACACCCAGAGGGCCCAAGTGCACCTTGAGGTTTTCTTTTCTTCCGCAAACAGGAGGTGACATAGCGCTCCAACTCGCGCAATGTGGACGGCTTCAGGGTCTCAAAGTCAATCTCTATCTCATCAGGATTGGAGTTCTTAAGTGAAGGCTCCCGAGACTGGATGATGTGTACCACTCGCCCTAACTTCTCGCCGGGGAGTTTGTTGATGTCCAAGCTGAGCTGCCGCTTCTCCTCATATGACATAGGCTTGCATTTGTCCTCTTCTTCTGACTCATACGTGGGAAGGGGTTTGCTCTTCATGGGCGCTGGCTCCTTCTTGCTATGAAGGGACGATGCAGACACCATCAAGAACGGGTCCCCTGAGGAAGCTGGGCACTCAATCTTCCATGTGTATGTAGGGGAGGCTTCCCAAACCCCACCCATCTGTTCTTCACAAGAAAGGGGCCTGGGACAGCTCACTCCTTGGGAGCAAAATTAGAAACCAACCATAAACAGGGGCTGTGTGAGCTAGGGATCTGTTGAGGCTGCACTCTTGCCTCTGCACCACACTATCTTCTCCCAAATACTGTGAACTTGAAAGGCTCATTCCAGTGTTGGCACACACACCTGCAATTCCAGCATTCTGGGAGGCTGAGACAGGAGGATCACGAGTTCAAGGCCAGCCTGGGCAACTTAGTGAGATCCTATCTCATAATAAAAAATGGGCCAAGCATGGAGCTCAGTGTGAAGGCCCTGGATTCAATCTCTAACATCGCAAAGAAAAGAAAGCTCACCCTACAGAGAGGGCAGAAAGAGCAGCTAAGTACTACATGTGCATGACTGCCAACCTGACTACCAGTGTACCAGCTGCTATGCACCAGGGCAGCCTCCCTCCCCATAGAGGGCACTCTGGGATAGAGGGTCCCCACATGAGGAAGCACAGACCTCACATTACTGTTGCTGTTGTTTTTCTTTGTCTTTTTGGGAGGAAGTTCCTTGGCTTTGCTTTTCTTATTCTCCTCCACCTCCTCTTTCTTTTTGTGCTTTTCCTTTTTCTTTTCCTTCTTGTCTTTTTCCTTTTTCTTTGGTTTGTTCTGCTGGGGCTGCGAGAGGGCTGCAAGCTGCTCGTGCACGGCTTTGAGCTGAGGAGCAGACAGGCAAGATATATACCCACGCCGACACCTTCCTATCACCCAAGAGCTGAGGGCCAGCTAGCTCTGCACCATGCGAATGGTGAGCCCCAGGTGTCAGGCTGTGGGTATTTCACTGATCTGCCACACTCATCAGATTCCCAACTCCAAGTATTCCTTGTGTCTGCCTCACCAGAGAAGCTACCCAAGAAGAGGGAGGCTAAGACATCCTGGTATAGGATGTTCCTGAGAAGGAGGGTTCCAAAGAGGCCAGCCATGAGCAGACATGCTGGACCCTAAGGACCGGGTGACTGGCTGTCTTGGAGAGAGAGGAGCAAGCAGGCAGCCTCAGGAGAGACAAGACATCCTGCCTGGCCCTCTTACAGAGACTGGAGGACACAAAAGCCTCATATCTGCTCAGAAAGTGACCACCCCCACTCCCTCAACATAGACAACATATACATCTGTATGATCAACATGCACATAAACAGAGAGAAGAGAAAGACCACATGAGGATCAGTGGGAGTGAAGAGCTAGGCACATCTCAAAAATTCTGGGGAGACCACCAGTCCATGGACTCTGGGAGGCTGAGGACACAGCCATGCGGCCTCACCTGCTCCTGGAGTTCTGCCAGCCGCTGAGCTCGCTCTTCCTCTGAGTCATCAGTGGAGCTGTCACTGTCTGAAGAACTGTCACTACTGCTGTCACTGGATGAAGCAGGGGGCACCACTTTGGTGGGGGGTGGCACCACTGGGGAGGACACAGCCACCACAGGCTCCTCAGGCTCATCTGGCATCTTGGCAAAGCGCATCTCAAACACATCCTGGAGACAGAAAGCCAAAGTCACTGTGGCCTTGTCAGCTGCTGGGACAACTCGAGACACAAAGTAGGTGAGAGGATAAAAGGGCTATGAGGAGCGGGGCTACTCTCTGCTACTAACACAGGGAGCAAAGGGCTGGCTGACACCCTCTGGCAGGGCTTTATTTTATTTTATTTTATTTTTTGAGACAGAAAGTCTCACAATGTGGTTCAGGCTGGCTTTGAATTTACAGTGATCCTCCTGCCTCAGCCTCCCAAGTGCTGACACCGCAGATGTGTGACACTACACCCAGCAGGCATGGCTTTCAACGACTCTCAACAATTTGAAGAACCATGTGATCCTGACATAGCTGGATACTCACTCCCTGGGGACACAGCGACCCTAAGAAAAGTCTCCCCCCAAAGCTTCTGCCTGGTCTGTGGCTCCCGAAGGCTAATCTGTTAATCTTCAATTTTTTCCCTGCAGCATGGGAAGATGAAGTGCATGAGAACTGCATGTGAAAGAATCTCCTAGGCAGGTGGGAACAGCACATGCACAGGCCCTGAGGTGGAAGTATGCATGGCACAGTGCACAGCCACAGGACTTCTCAGATGCACCCAGGAGCATCTAACTGAGCAGGGTCAAGTCCCTGGCTAAGGCATCTCCAAGATATGCCAGGAAATGCTGTTGAGGTGCTAAGAAAAAGTCAATGACCTGGAGATGCCACATGGGCATAAGAACCCATTCCAGGAGACCCCAAGACCTTGTAACTCTAACACCTGCGAGGTCGTGGAGCTCAGGAAAATAGTAATCCTGCCATGCTCATGATTAAACCAATGATAACTCTAAGGACAGAGATGGAAGGAACAGAGCTGGCTTCCCTATAGGATTTTTAGACTTGCTTTAAGCATAGAATAAACTGATCAAAGTAACAATTCACACAATGAAAGGGACATTTCCCCAAGAGAATGTCACAGAGCAACACATGAAGCCAAGCACCAAGGCTGCCCCAAAAACTGTCCCACCTTGGCTTGCCAAAGGTCAAGACCAAACAGTAAGGAGCCCATGACAAGCTAGCTTCCATGAAAAAAATATCACCAGGCAGGCTGGGGTGCAGCTTCTTGATGGTGTCTGGCTGCATGACCCTGTCTAGGATGTGAGAATTCTGCTCTAGCAGGGGGCACCCTGGGAAACTCATGTGCCCATGGCATATCTTGCTGGTTACAATGGACATAGCCATCAAGCATCTATTAAATGGTAAAGAGAAACAAGCCTTTTTCCTCCACTTAGTCTACAGGAAGAAGGATGAGTAAACACATAGCTCTACACTGATTAGTGCTAACAGGGGACAGCAAGGAGTCACAATGCACTGGAAGTAACTGGGAAGGGTACACTGTGAACTCAGGGTGAGGGGTGGACCAGGACAAGTGGTGGAAGATAAACATTTCTTAGAGATCAGAGAAAATGAAGCTAAGGAAAGAGGAAGAATGGGCAAGAATGCTAACAGGCCTAATTTGGGGCTAGTAGGAGTCCAGAAAATCTAACTGGAAAAATACTAAGGGCCAGGATCTTATGAGGAACAACACTGATGGGAGAGTGAGGAAAGAAAATGATAGTGATGAACAGCGGACGACAGCACCCACCCAGGAGAAAACAGGTCTTCTGCTGTTGGGTCTACATCATCTTGAGTTGGGCACACACCACTGGTTTCAGAACAAGCACCTTTTTGCTAGAATGAGGACCAATGCTCAAACATTCTTGGAGATAAGGGTTGCAGATGGAAACCCTCAGCAGAGGTATAATACACTGGAAATGGGAAACCCACGTGGAGGTGCCTGGTGGCTGGGGACATGGCCATTAGTGAAACACACATGCACACAACACACTCTCACTCTCCAAAACCCTCCTGCCTGTAAGGTCCAATGCAGGAGCCCAAGGTACTTTTCAGTTTACCTGTCCTCCTGAGAATAATTATACATAACCTAGAATCTGTGGTAACCCCTTCAGCCCAATAAAATTGGTAGCCACATGGGCTGCAATTGCTACAAAACTTCCTTTAATCACTCTTCACAACACAGCAAAGTAAAAGGCAGGACTACCAGTGGCTATCCTGAGGCCCCTGAGGAAATGCCAAGCCTAGAGGCTTCTGGTCATCTTCGTGGCCATGGATCCTAGGCTGTGGGATGTGGATTTTCTAAAGGCCCAGAATTTAAGAACTAGAAGAAGAAAGTAAATGTATCCTCTATACCTAAAATGTATCAATAAACTCAATGAGGAAAAAAAATAAAATAAAAAAATAAAACCTTCAGTACATTAGAAAAAATAATAAAAGTAAATGTATCCTCTTCTGTGTAAATTTCTAGACACATCCCATTTTGGGGGCATGACCTAACTAAGCAGGTCCCAACACCTCTTAAAGAAGCAAGCAAGAAAGTAATGGGAGAACTTAGAAGAGAAAATGGAACACAAAGCCTGAGGTGCCACAAATATCACAACTGCCTTCCAGAAGAGGTGGGAAAGACAGCATACTCTCAGAAACCGAGAGGTTCTTCCACAGCACACCCTTCCACCACTGCCTCAACTGGACCCTCAAGGTGAGGCTCATGTCTACTCCAGTCTGGTTCCTAGGTCACTGCCAAAGAAGAACCCTTTAGCTCAAAAGGCTACTGTGGGGTACACATCTCAGTGGTCACACTACAGGTGAAAAACTGCATGTCTGGGCAGTTTCACCCGCTCCCAGAAGGAGAAAAATGCAAACAGAACAAATTTTGTTAACAATCAAAGACTGTGAAGAGGGAGTGGCTCCAAGGTATCATCCGTCAAGGCCAGAAAACAAAAAATGAGGAAGAGCGCACTGAACATATTAGAGGGTGTAGTCTTGTTTTAGTCCTTTCTTTAATAAACTAGCTCAAAATAGCACTCTTGGGTACTGACAGAGACAGAACTTGTTTGGGTTTCACTGTTTCCATGAGGGCAAATAAAGGATATGGGTATCAGATCTAGGCAGCATGAGCAAAAGCTACAGCTTCTCAAGAGAACAGGAGGGACATAGGGATCTGTGGGATAAATCTGAAAGCACCACTGCCACTAGGTGGCTCTTTTAAGAACTGCAATAAAATTAAAAGGCCAGAACACCAAGGGGGTAGTCTTTGTGAAGACAGACAAAACCAAACTGGTTTTGCAGAGCCTCTTACCCAGCCAAAATCAGAGAAAAAACAAACAAAGAAAACTAACAAACAAGCCTTAGAGATAAAAACCTTCCAATATGAGCGTAGGTTTGACTAAAAAGAGCTAGGTCCACATTAGTAGTAAAGAGTCCACGTGGCATCATCCACAGGGAAATAGGTTTTTCTACCCCATAGTTGAGGGCATGCCCTCTGAACTAAAGGCAGCCCCGACTAGACAGACGGAGGCAAGTGACAGCAGGGTGAGTGACGTAAGTCCTCAGCTCCAGTGGTAGCACTCTGGGACAAAGTCTGAAGCTGGCAGAGCTGGGCTCAGGTGACCTTTCTGTAACACAGACCCTCAGAACACCAAAGGCCTTACAAGCTCTCTGCCCGAACACTAAAAAGAGTACTATGTAAGCCCACAATGAGCACACTTGCACCTCTTGACATCAGGTGGCCCAACCCACAGCCTGCTCAGTCAGACCTGTAAACAAAAGCAACCTATGGCCTTGGGGAGAAAAGGCTAGGAATTTTTATGATTTTGTATGTTTACTTTCAAAGAACTTTAAACAGCAGATTATCAAAGTATTAAATATTGACTTATCCAAAATTTTCAACTCTTCATCTTATTACCCAAAGATAACCACTGTTTAAATTTAGGTACAAATATCCTTTAAAATACAGAAGTGAATTAGTTTACACATTTATGCAACTTCTCCTTTGCCTCTCACATGTGCATTTTACAGTGTGGACCACCCAGGACTCTCAACTTGGAAGGAATGGAAATATGAATTCCCTTATTAGAGAATTATGGTCACAAAGAACACCTAAACAGCTACTATGCAGCTTAAGGACAAACAAATGCTTTCAAGGATCTGGTGAAGAAATACCCACAGGCAAGCAGCTACCTTGGCTCACAACTGTGACAAACTATCTGGAAAGTGTGTCCTCCACCAACTTGAGTCAGGTCTATTTTAGGAAAAAACAAAACAAAAAAAACAGCCACGCACAGCACATATGCCCTTCCAGCCAAGGGTAAGAAAGTGGAGACGGAGGGCAAGAAGGGACAGAGGAGGGAACTTTCAGTGGATCACCCCAAAATGAATTTAGCCACTTTGTTCTGATAGAAAGTAAATAACTGCAACCTAAAATGTATGCCTTGGCCTGAGGTGGGTGGGCTCTTCCAAGGTGACATACACACATTATCCCAAGGCAAGCAAGGAGTCTGTCTGGCTTGCCCTCCACAGAGACTTACCTGGAGCTTCCGGGCCATAGCTACCACCTCATGGTCAGGAGGGTTATACTTATAGCAGTTGGAGAACATCAATCGGACATCTGCACCAAATTCCTGAGCATCTCGGTACTCACGGGACTCTAGCTTCGACTGGAAAGATAAGATAGGTAGAGTTAGTTGTGTCTGCCCTTGTTTTGATTGGGGTGGTCAGTGGCAGCAGTGAGAACTACCTGTAGGATGCAGGCCAGATTTGGGGTAGAAATGCACATAGGCCTTGACCCCATTTATAAGCATGGTATGGACAAGGAGGCTTTCAACAGCAAGTCTGGGGCTGCAAACCCAGTCTGTTAGCATGCCATGCTTACCTCTGGGGGTCATCGTTAACTGCCTAAATTTGGGTCAAAAGGACACAGAATCCCAGAAGGCTTAAACCAGAACTGAAGAAGGGAAGATGAAGAGCAGGATGAGTCCAGCCCTGATTTTGCATACACTTTTCTTGGGGACATGGAACAGGACACTGGTCAGGACGCAGCACCACTCCCTGCTTTGACTAACTCATATTTAGGCTCTTTTACTCTACTCCCAGAAGGAGAAAAATTCAGTCTTAAAAAAGGACTCAAAACACTCCAGAGAAAACGTCACCTGACTCCATCACAAAGAAGCTGGCCATGAACTGTCAAGCCCTCCTACAACATCCACCAGGTACAAGGCACCTGGGATACTGGGGCGTCAGGGCCAGAGGGTACATCTTGTCTCTCCTCAGACAAGGGGAAGGGGATAGCTCTACTGCCTGCAACCAAAAGCACTGTTAGGATGCATGTTCCCAAAACACCCAGTAGGGGGTGCTACGTTTCTCTAGGCTGCTGGGGAAATTTTACACAGCTCCACTAGTGGTAGTTAAACCCAGGGCCTTCCTCTAGTCTAGGAAGAAACCTGGGGAGAGAAGTCCCGAGGCTGAAGGAGGCCTCTGCCAACTCCACGCCCGCACCCCCACGTAGGGTCACCTTGATTGTGCTCATGTCCATAGGGTGCTTGATGATGTCACAGTAGTCGTGCAGGCCTAGCGCCTCCACATCCACCGGCTTGTAGAAAGGCCAAGCATAGGCGGCGTGCTTCTTGGCGAACATCTCCTTGAGAATGCCGCTGCAGCACTTGAGCTGTTCCGAGACCTTGTTGCTTTTCTCTGGCACTGGGTGCTGCTGTGAGTCAGGCACATCCTTCTTTGGAGGCTTTACAGGCCGGGTGCTCTCCCGCCGGGGGGGGCCCAGCTTGGCAGTCTTGGGCTCTGGGGCCAGTGAGGGTGGCTCATGAATGGAGTCAATGGTGGTGGGGGTGGTGGTGTCTGCTTTCCTCTTCACCCCCTTCTTTGTCTGCCAGGAACACAGATGTGTCAGGCTCCATCAGAGGTGGCAACCAGCACAGCTGCCCCCTGGGGTCATCCCTGAAACCAGGCCTCATCTACTATCCCAACAATCATAGGGGCTGGGCCCCAAGGCAGCTGGGCAGGTGAATGATAGAGGGAGAAGGAGACCAGATTCCACCACTCCTCCCTGCAGCTGGGGCTGAACCAGCCAGCAGTAGGAGGAGGCACACAATTGAGCTCAGGCTCTGTTTACTCCTGTGCTTATATTTAAAAAACCTCCCAGCCAGGGATTTAGCTCAGTGATTTCACCACCTGCCTTTCAAGTGCAAGGACCTGAGTTCGATCCCTAGTACCAACAAAACAAAACAAAAACCTCTCAAAGCTGTTTCTGACTGGGGGACCTCTCCCACAGTCCCCACAGGAGGCACAAGTCACAGACTATTCAGACAGTTCTGTAAACATACACAGTTTTAAACGAGAAGCAGAAACCCACTGGGAAGAGAAATGTGGTTACAAATTCTTTGGGTCAGAGGGTATCCCCTTCTGGGAAAGCTCTTCCCCAGGAATACTTGACAGTGCCTGAGGGACAGAATCCACTCTGAACAAAGCATCAGCAAGGATGGGACATCTGCCTTCTTCTACAAGCCCTTGTCCCTGGTGGCAGAAGCCTTCTTTGGACAGAAGCCCAAGATGCTTACCTTCACAGGCTGCGGGGTGGCTGCGATGATGGGTGGGTGGCTCTGCACAGGCTGCGGGGTGGGAGCGGGTGGGGGTGGTGGCTGAGGGGGCACCGGTGGGGGAGTCTGCAGTGGCTGGGGAGGCACCACTGTCATGACAGGTGTCTGAACAATGAGGTCAGGGGTGACAGCAGGGAAGGGGTGAGGCGTGGCCTGCACAGGTGGAGGATTCTGCTGAGTGGTCTGGGTCTGTGGAGGAGTTGATGCTTGAGTTGTGTTTGGTACCGTGGAGACACCAGGCTTTGCTGTCCCTATCATTCATAAAAAGGACAAGGAGTTAAGAGGCTGTGCTGACACGTGCTGGCTAACCCTGCCACATACCAGCACATATCTGTGTGGTACACTTGCATACAGAGCATGTGCATGTTCCAGATTTCACTGTGCCAAAGCCATCTATCTACCGCAAAGCTCAGGGAGCAGCGGGGCACACCAAATTTCACACATACTGGGCATCCCGGCCTGAAGGAGTGGAAGTCCATGCTGGGTGATATAAGCAGGACTATGGATGGGTATAAAAGAGACGTTCCTTGGAACATAAAAAACAGAGCTGTCCCCATTCCCAAAAGTGCTGCCCTCGGAGTGAGCATTATGGCAGGGCTGGCAGCAGCCACCCTTGGCCAAGGTTTCTGGAAACTGGCACGACTTCACCCAGAGCCACTAGGGATAGGTGGACAGCTACTGCCCTTCAAGATTATCTCAAGCTATGCCTCTGTGATCACACCCAGACACAAAAGGGTCACATGGCATGACCAACTGCTCCAAAATTGAGGGGTTATGACCAGGGAATTGGAACCTAGGACTATGACCTTGACTGCCACATCCTTCAAGAGCACACTAGATGCCATAAAAAAGAACAGACACCCAGCACTCTGTGAAAGAATCCTTCATCAGTGAGGTGCCCTTGGGCAGCACGTAGGCTCTCTGTGAAAAGCAAGTAGGGTCTCTGAGTTTCCCAATTCCCCTTCCCTAGGTACTCCTAGAATTGGATCAGAGAAGCTGTCGCCATGTCTGTGCCATGCACAGACCAAACACCTGGGCCCAGGAAGCAAGAAGTGAGGTCCTCTTAAAAGGATATGTCCTTGCAAGTGCAAGGGCCAGAGTTCGATCGCTGGTACCA